TTAGGACAGAAAACTGTTTACGATGTGTCTCTTCATTGATTGGGTTTGGGGTATGCCATCCCACCGGAGCATTTATGCAGGGACTGTAATCCAAGAATATGAAGAGAGGCGATTATTTTTCAGGACTTGTCCAGTGTCCTCTCTTGTTATAATGGTGCATCATCAATTTTTCTATATTCAGGGTCTTACCAGGGACTTGTGTGGCCCAGGAAAAGGGCCCTAACCAGAGCAGGCCTAAGATGCTGTTCCGGAATGTGCCTCATCGCTGGATTTTAATTGAGTATTTCCTAAGTACCAGGCCCTGTAAATGGAGAACAGACGAGGAGAGGAGTGCACAGAGCCTGCTTTCTCGGCCCTCCCTTTGCAGAGTGGGAGGCCCTCGCCAGCCTGATCGACCCCCATTGAGGAGGCCCTGGGTTTACTCGCAGGTCTGCTCCTCAAGTGGACGTCCTCCCTCCAAGTCCTTGCTCAGACGTCACCTTCTCAAAGAGACCTACCCTGAGCACCCTATTCTTAAATTGCTGCACCTCTGACCCCTTCACCCTACTCTACTTTTTCATTCTTTCCATACATGCATCTTCTAAAATGCCACATAATTTACTGAGTCTTATGAATGACTATTACTTATGAACAGTTTCTTCCGCCAAGAATGTAAACCCCACAAGGCAGAGGTTTTTCCTGTTTGGCTCACGATTTCAGTCACTGATGTATCCTAAGTACCTACTTGTAAGTGACTGATAAAGTAACCATAAGCACAGCCTTGGGCACCCTGGTACCCAGATTCCACTCGATTGGGGTTGGACTGGGCTCCCATTTGAGCAGGATGCTGGATTGCTCCTGAGCCAGGCTCTCTGCTCTGTAACTCAGACCATTGCTTTCTTCTCATTTTGTGCAAGAACATGGATTACTTGCTAGGAGCTACTACATGGATCTGGGGTTCTAGCTTATAAAGCTCAGTTCCTAGGCTGGGAATAGAGACTGTTTCTCTCTCATTTCTCTCTTATCTCTGATCACACTGTGTGGGACCTCATAGGTGCCCAATTAATGTTTATTGAAATGAAACTTAGCTGGCAATGGTATTTAGTCCCTCCTTTCCCAAACATAGAAAAAGCCCTATTGCCCACTATTCCTATCAACCAGAATTTGGCTCTGTGTGTGTGTGTCTCCAAACACAGCCATGTGGTGTGAAAGGTTGGTTTGGTGCAGTGGTAGAGTCATTCTTGTTCCTTGGCACCAGTTTTCACCGCCCCTTCTCTCTCTTCTCTTCCTAAAATTCCCCCCTAATGAGTTGCCCAAGTCCTTGCAGATGCCTGCTGTCCTTGCCTATCATCTCTGACTCAGCCTGGATTGAATCAGGCCTCTCCTTGCCAATTGGGTCCCAGATCTCCATTATCAGAAACATTATTTATGTCTCTCAGCTCCTTTCTAGATTACCCAAGATAAGCAAGAGGAGGAAGTAAAAATAGGGCATACGGGCCAAGAGATGCTTGAATGAACTTGAATAGGTCATCAGGTCTTCCTGGGCCAAGAGTCACTTCTTTCTGATTCGCACTTGATGGTGGTTCCATTTCCACGAGTCAGCAGCCTGCAACCAGGCAGGGTGAAGAGTTGCAGCAGAAATTCTTCACAGCTGCTTCAATTCTGGAAAGCTGACTGTTTCCAGACACGTTTTCCCTCTTGCCTGGGGCTTCTAGAAGTGTGCAGACACTGGGTGGTACTGCACAGAATCTCTCTGTGGCTGTCTGCGAGAGCTCATGTGTGAGGAGGAAGCCCTTCTCACCAAGCTAGATCTGTTTTCTGTAGCCCAGAAGGGGTGTTCAAAGGCCTATCTGGTGTTAGAGAGTCCTTTGTCCACTGTTATAATCAAGAAAGGGAGGCCAAAGTCTTGAGAAGGAGCACCATTCCCTCATGCTGCTACTTCTCTGGGAAAGTGTCTTTATAATTAGAACCAGATTAAATGAGGTTGAGCCCGGGTGGGAGGGCAGGGAATCCAGGTCCTTGCAATGGGAGAACATCCCCCTGGTACCAGGATTCCCTTGTCTCAAGACTTTGACTGCTGTGGATGTCAATGCCCACTGGCCATTTGGAGAGTGGGCAGCTGTGGGGACCCAGCTCCCTATATTAGGTCTGAACAAGTAGTTGTTATCCTTTGAGAAAATGAGGAGAAGAAAGCTGTGGGGGTAAGGAAACAGGATGCCAGGTCCAAATGTCTTCTGCTTTTTTCTCAAGTTCGCTACCTTGCCAGGACATTTCCCACATCTCTGCCATATAGCTCATCCCGTTCCCCCACCCCTGCCCAGCCCCCCACACACACTTTCTCTAACCCCAGCAAAAAATTGAATAGGAAGTGGTCGTAAACTCTAGTTGGTGTCTCAGCAGAAATGTGAGGTGGTCATCACCTTCAGGTTCGGAGTCGGCAAAAGAGGAAGGAAGTCAGCTCCCCACACTCCATCCGAAGCTGCCCTCAGGTGCTGCTTCTCATCATACGCAAGAATAGGTGTGGCAGGGACGACCCACTGGCAGCATGAGACTGGGATTCCTCGGAGAATCCCACCGCCATCTGGAAGCTCTGTGTAGTCGCCATTTTCCTCAGCTAAGGCCCATAGGGAAGGGGAGGAGAGAACGGGTAGGTGAGTGTCGCCAGTTTAGTTCTTGCCAGGGCCTCCATTGAATTTAGCATGCCCCCTGTAAAATCCAGTATTATCTTAGTGAGGACAAAGGACTGGTTAAAAACAAGAAGAAAAGAGAAACAAGGAAATAAATCCTGGTGTTTCTATCAATAGTTGGCTTTCCACTGTATCTGGAACTGGGATATTCAACCGTATATCATGCTGGATGTTGTCCTGTGATTTGGTCTGGTTCATTTGGGTTGAAATTAATTTTTTAGATGTTTTGTATGATAGCATTAACAGAGACTCTCACCTACAGACATAATTGTAAGTTACAAGTGCCTGCTCTGTTTGGAAAGTCAATAAAAGCAGTGCTAGCCCAGGCTTTGCTCTCTATTAATATTGTTGCCTATCTATGTATTTTAAGCATTTCCAAATATTTGTTGTGGTGCCTGTGAATCATATAAGGAGCCCACAAGAGATAAAAATTATGGTTATGTAAATACTTCTCTTTCTTGTGACCCATTTCAATTCTTTGTCAAGACGCATGTTCAATGTCCTCTGCTAATTGTTTCCTACTAGCTCTTTCTAAGAGACCTTGCTTGTCAGTGAGTAATAGTCAATGATGTCATCTGTCTGGAAATGTATGCTCACTCACTTCAGGTAGGGAATATTCCTTTGTAGCAAATATAAATATATAAAAGCCAATTGAAAAGGCAGGAACCAACTAACCAGTATTTATGGTATCTTTTCTGAAATGATCAGCTGCACACCAGGGAGTTCCCTGCATGGCCTGAGAAGGATTAGGGAATGTAAGTCATATTTCATTTTTTTGCTTCTCCTTTGATGGATGCCCCATGACACTATGATCCCTCGGACTGATGTCTGAGAAAAGAAATGTTGAAGGATGAATGAAATGCCAGTTAATTCCATTATGTCATTTACTGACATCCTGGCTAGGCTCAATCTATCCCCAGGGGACTCTGTATAGGGGAGCACATCTGATGGGAAATATAGATTTTTGTGGTCCTAATAAGCCAGTAAAGGTAATCATAAGTCCTGGGCTTGGCAATGGAGGATGTCATTCTGAGACCCAACAGGACTGGACGGATTCTTATTCTTCCTCCACGTGCTGTGCTCTGTGAACTTGAGAAAGTTGGCAAAGACTGGGTTAATATTCTATAACTAGAGCATTAGCCACATGCTGAAAATTATACTAGATAGAAGATCTGAGTTCAGACACTGTTTCAACCAGTCATCAGTTTGTAGCTCTCTTTAGCCTTCAGTCTCCTTGGTCATAAAATGGTGATAACCATAGTTACCTCCTGAAAACACTTTGAAAACTCTGTGGCGACGTTCACTGTGAGCCATCATTATCACCATTACAGGATGTCTCATCAAGCCCTCTTTCTTCCCTACTGTAAATAATGGAGCAGTGTCTTTAACAAGAACTAGTAATTTCCTGAGTTGTCTTCATGCTTCCCCCTCACATTGCCCGTTAGAGATAGATCTTCTGACAAGACATGGGAAACCACCCACCTCAGTCTCTCTTTCGGAGAGAAAAAGCTAAAGTGGCAACTGATCTTGCTGAGAAGAGTTGAGGGATTTTTCAGTTGTAAGAATCTAGCTTTTTACCTGCCTAATAACCCCCTCAAAGTGAAAATCAGCAGGGGTAATTAAGGTAAAATCAGCAATAACATCCTTCATTAAACTTCCAGAAGTACATGAAATTTTGTGTAATTTTTAAAACACCTCACCCAAGGATTGCATTCATTAATTAAATAATGTAAATTAAAATATTATGCTCCTTTATTCTTGCCTACTCTGGGAAACTAACCATTCCATCCCAGCCTGAATGTTGGCACACTTAGCAAATTGAAGCGTCCTCACTTCATCATATTTGAGTTGATCAGTGATAAGGAGTTTCACCGCTCTCTGCCCTAAGATGCATAGGTGTTGCAGTAGGAGGTAGCTGATGTGAGTCAGTGACCTTGACTTGCAAGGGTTGGACAAACAGAAGGAAGCACAGGTTGGGTATTGCAAGAAGTTCACCTAAGTCTTGGTTATCACAGATCTTTAGGTGATCGAGATTATATCAAGGACTTGATGTTCCAGTCATAGTAATCCTAGAACACAGAGTCCTAGATTTAGAGCTGGAAGGCACTTTAGAGATAATCTAAACTCCTGCTACTCAAAAGCATGGTCCAAGAACTGGCAACATCAGCATCACCTGGGAGCTGGTTAGAAATGCAGAACCTCAGGCTCCCCCTCCAACCCACCCCCACCTCCCACGACTGAATCAGAGTCTACATGTAACAAAATCCTCAGGGGATTGGAAAGCACGTTAAAGTTTTAGATGCACTGGTCTAACCCACTCTTTTTGCTTTGTAGATGAACAGACTAAGTCCCAGCAAGTCTAAATTGCCTATTCAAGAGCTTCCAGCAGGTCGCTGGCAGAACAGGAGCCATCCCATCTCATAATGTGATTCTTAGGTCTATGAACTTGAGAAGCAATGAGTCATGGGCCTGGTACCCAAATCGAAGGTGGGTTTTCCTAGTGAAATGTGCAATAGTGACATTAAGCAATGCTGATTCAAGAAGTCAGTCTCATGCTTGGTTAAACTAAAATGTCCACACTGTTTGTACAAATGGATTAGTTCTTATCAAAGGACCACAACTCTCCTGGTGGCAGTTTATTCTGATTGCAGGTTGAGTACTTAGATGCCTTGAAAGTAGAAACTGTTAACATGACAGCAAAAAGGCACTTAGCTTTGCATCCTCTGCATATGATAATGCAGCCAGTGTTGAGGTGGGGTCTACTTCAGGGCCTTTGCTCTTGCTGCTCCCTCTGCCTGTGGTGCTCCCCCTCTGAATCTTCACATGGCAGGCTCCATTTTATCATCCAAGTCTCATCCTTGGAGAAGCTTTTCTTGGTCAATCAATCTAAGTCAACTTCCCTCCTCATCCCATTCCCCTCAGTCACTCTCCATCCCATTGTCTTATTTTATTTTATTTGTGGCGACTGTTAAATGAAATTATTTAGTTTGATAATTTATTGTCTGTCTTCCTTCCCATAGCATGTGCATTTGATGAGAGCAGGGACCTGGCCTCACTGATACACGGCTACATCCCTGTGGACCAACAACAGAGCTTGACACACAGTAGGTGCTCAATAATTGCAGCCTAAATGAATGAATAAGTAATTTAGAACAACGTTTGCTATGTTTATGGCGAGGATAATCATCAATAAGAGCTAACATTTCTTGACGTTAGCCGTGTTTTGGATACTGCTACGGACTTTACATACATTGCCTCATTTAATTTAATTTTTTATTATTAAAGTCTCAAAAAGCAGGCACTAGTGTTGACTGCTTGGAAGTTGTGGCATTAAATATATCTTCCTAAAATTGGGGAAACTGAATGAAACCTAGACTTGACTTCCCTAAAGGAAAGCCCTGAGTGGCCTTCTGCACGAAGTGGTCCACACTGGCTGAGGATTGCCAGGATCCAGGCTGAACTGGTTGGACCAGGGAAACTACTATACTCAATACAGTGTCTTGACGCCCTTGCCAGTTTTCCTTTGGGCACGTGAATAGGGACAGCCAGACTTAGGGTGATGTCTTGGAATGAAATATCCTGATACATTTTTCTAAGTGACGACGGAAATGTTAACTCTTGTCCTTTACCCCTTGCATGGCCTGCAAAACCACTAGTAACAGAAAATAACTTGTGTACAGAAGAACATGATGCCAACCAGAGAACAATCCTTGATCTTCTCAGTTTTGACCAAAGAAACAAAGCAAATAGACCAATTTTGACCTCAGTCATTTGGTACATTTCATGTTGCCTACAAAAGATAAAGGTCGATCAACTTCCCTCACGATAGCAACTCAATACTTCTGCTCAATTTTTTTCCAGTTTAAAGTGTCCCAAAGTGCTCGGTCCCTATTCCACTCTCCACCTTGGTTTCCACTAGTTCCACACGTTCAAACCAAACAGCTGCACTCGGCTGACTCAGTAGGACTGGGCCCCCCCCCAGCTGATCAGGAAGTCAGCCGGAAAGCACTTCTATAATGAGAAACAGGAGGATGGAGGGAAAAACAACTTGAGTAAATGCATTTCAATCCAGAGAAGAGCTTTTAAAAAACCGTTTAACATTTAAAGTTCTATTATTATTTTTGGCAGCATGTTGAGTCCATGTCTCTTTTTTGGCTACTTTTCTAGTACTTTTTGTATCTGGAAGCAAAATTCGCAACCGATTTCAGTAACTCGGAGAAAGATTTTTCAGTGTAATTATAGGAGGTATTTAAATGCTATCTAAATGTTATTTTGTATACTCACCAAGTAAGAGGCACAACTTAAAATGACTATATAAGTGACCTATAATATAATTTATGTTTATGTCATTGACATAGAAAATGCCTTAAGCATTAGTCATTGCAGAATTAATTGTATAACTAAAAACAAACAAAAAAACAAATCCAATGTCAATTACCCAAAAATTCCAAATTAATTACCCAACACAAAATACAGATGGTAGGGCCTGGTATATTTATTTTAATAAACTTTTTATTAGGAAAAATTTCAAATGCATTCAAGAGTAGAGAGACTATGTACCTATCATCTACCTTCAACAATTATCCATTTATTGACCCTGGGCATTGATGGTGAGAGGAGGGGTTGATGGTATGGCCCTTGTGATAGCTGGAAAGGCAAAACAATTGTCTATCATGGCAGGGATGGGTCTATAACCGATTACCCATATTAATTATTTGAAGCCATGGGTAAAATAGGTAGTTCACAAGCTTAATTCTGACTTCTGCTTTAACTCAGGCAAAAAAAAATTCAAGTTTATCAGCATTATTTTCTACCATGAGCCTATCATTGTCCTACATATTGTGGTGAACATAAAGTCGTCATTAAAATATTGGAATCGTACATAGTTTCCATTGGGGGGACTTCCACATATAGTCTCTCCATTACCCTGCCCTGCTCTGCATCCTGGGAGGCCGATTTCTACGAAGTTAAAAGTCCCCCTGCCTTCTGGCTTCTGTTGGGTTGAGCCAAGCGGTGGCAGGCAGAGGGACACCAGCAGAACACCGGAGAGTGGGAAGCTAAGTGGAGAGGGTACAGGCTCATACAGGATGTGAGGAAGTGCTACGGGGCCTTGACTATCCAGCCAATGAGTTATATCTGGTTCAAAAGCAATAACGTGTGCAACATCACTGATCATTAGGGAATTGCAAATTAAACCAAAATGAGATATGTCATACCCATTAGGATGGCTATTATCGAAAAAACGGAAAATAACAAACAACTGTTGATGAGGATGTACAGAAATTGAAACCTTTGTGCATTGCTGGTAGAGATGTAAAATGGTGCAGCTGCTGTGGAAAACAGTATAACAGTTCCTCAAAAAATGAAACGTAGAATTACCATATGATCCAGCAATTCCACTACTGGGTATATTACCAGAGAATTGGTATATAATTTACCCAAAAGAATTCAAAGCAGAGACTTAAGCAGATATTTGTATACCAATGTTCATAGCAGGATTATTCATAATAGCCAAAAGATAGAAACAATCCAGATGCCCATCAATGGAGGAATGGATAAACAAACTGTAGTATATACTCAAAGCGGAATGTTATTCAGCCTTAAAAAGAAGTAAAATTCCGACATGTTCTGCAACATGAATGAGTCTTGAAGACATTATGCTAAGTGAAATAAGCCAGACACAAAAGTGCAAATACTGTATGATCCACTTATAGGAGGTATCTGGGGTGGTCAGCTTCATAGAGACTGAAGGTAAATCATAGGATACAGGGGATAGTAGGAACAGGAAATGGGGCGTTATTGATTAATGGGTGCAGAGTTTCAATTTGGGAAGATGGAAAAGTTCTGGAGATGGATGGTGGTGATGGTTGCAAAACAACGTGAATGTACTTAATGCCACTGAACTGTACACCTAAAAATGGCTAAGATGGCAAATCGTATGTGATGTATATTTTACGACAATTAAAAAAAAAAAAGCAGTAGGTTGCCTTTGTACCTTCACCCACAAGTGAAGATATGAAAATTAGGAGGAATAGTTTAGCAGCAGCATACAGGAATAAAATATGCTTCCCACTCTCTCCACCTCCCCAGGGCCAGTAAAGTATTTCACTTCTTCCAGAAAACAGCCGCCTTCTTCTTCTTTTTTAAATTAGAAGCTTCGTGTATGTAGACATGTTCTACGGAGAAAGGTGAGCACCAGGAAGCTGGCAATACGGAGTCTTTTTCTGCAGGGAGTTAGGGCAGCCCACAAAGAGAGGCAGAGATGAAAGGGCAGGTAACAGAAGTGCTGTGGACAGCCTGTCGCCAGATCTATTCAACAGGGCAGTCTGATCCTTCCAGCATGAAGACCTGTGAACTTAATTAGGAGCTACAGCTTCCGATGTTGTTTATGGAAACCCGGCGGCCAATATTAGCCCTAACACAGGTTGCTGTAAACAAAACTGGCACTGAGAAGGCAGCTTAACGACCCAAGGGCACAAAGAATTCTCTAAATTGTCTCTTTAATTACAACTTGTTTCAGGGGTGAGGCCTTAGGGATGATATTTTAATAAGGCACATGCCACTTGATATGCCAAAATGTCACAGACATTTTCTCCATACACGTGGGATAAACATCAAGTTTATCTCAGAACAAATCTAACTCTGGAATAAAGACAAGAGGACTCTGTCTGAAATTAAACCTGAGTTTGAATCTCACATCTGCAGGACACTAATATGCAAACGTACATTGTTATTGTTCCTGTTACGAATCACTTGCACATAGTTCTCATCCACTTTATAGCAACTCTTGTTTACTTTACATTTACTTTGTAACAGCTCGTCATTCCCGTGTTACAGTTGGAGAAATTGGAGCTGAGAGAGTTTAATTTGGGGAGTAGCTACTAATCGACAGACCAATATTGAGCCAAACCTGCCTTCTCTAACACCAGAGCTCTCCAGGTTTCATCAGAGCTGTAGAAGGCAGGCGATTATATACATGAATCTTTCAGAAGACATGAATCAGAATATTCTACTTCCCTGAGTTGTAAGGGCAGGAATGAGAGTGAAGTGTTGTGCCAATATATAGGTTCAACCACACTACACATTTTTTGATTGTATTTTTTGTTTATCTTATAGTTTTTAAAAGGTTTTCATATAATGACTGTTTCAAGTTCTTGATTCTCATAGAACTCTGGGAAATAAGTGGAATAGATGGATATAAGCTCATTTTACAGATGATGAAATTGAGATACATGTGCTGGCCTAGTGGCATGGTGTTTGGGTTCGTGTGCTGCTTTGGCGGCCCAGGGTTCATGGGTTCAGATCCTGGGCACGAACCTACACGTTGCTCATCAAGTCATGCTGTGGCAGCATCCCACATACAAAATAGAAGGAGATTGGCACAAATGTTAACTCAGGGACAATCCAAAAAGAGGAGGACTGGCAACAATGTTCGCGTGGGGCCAATCTTCCTCACCAGGAAAAAAAAATTGAGATACAAAGAGACCCTGACTTTTCAAAGATCATGGTTTGCTGTGGGTTGAACAGGGGCTATATCCTAGGACCCTCATCTCTGGGCTGCTGATGGTCAGGACAATGCAAAAGTGGCTCTCCTGTTCTTAGACATGTTCAGGTGGTGAAGCCTGGGTGTCACACTGATCTAGCTGAGCTCTGTGAGAAAAAATCAGCCATTGCATGGTAGTTTCTCACATACCCAAGCTGTAGTTGTTCATAGTTTTTAAGAAAAAGTTTTTTAAAGAGAAACTCAAAATTAGAAATACAGTATTCACCAACTTGATTATTTTCTGTAAATTGGGAAAAGACCATCATTAGCTGAATTTTAAAATTAGAGAAGTTCAGACATCAGATTTAAATGTCACTGCTTTTGCTTCTGTAATCTCTCCTTTGCCAGGCAGCATTTCTGTGAGTCAGTCATATTTGAAAGGAAAATCTAACCCCTTTGAAAAGCCAGCCCTCTCAAGAGATTAATATCTATTAGGAGCCAATGGCATCTCTTTTCCTGGTTGATTCTAACTGCCTCATTATTCCTACTTCCCGACACAGACTCCTAATACACCCAGCTGAACTTTATCTTCCAACTTCATTCATTCGACCAGCACATATCTATTCAGCACTTAACATGAGCAATCACTATTCTGGTCTCTTGAGATACGTTAGTGAACAAACAGATAAGAATCCCTGCCCTCCAGAAGCTTACGTTCTAGCAACTTTGAAGGTAATTTACCATTCAGATATTAATGGCATTCAATACACGTATGTTGATTTCTAAGGAAAGTAGAATCCATTACAGCATCCTGATGTAGAACAGGTTGCTAGTCACAGCCTTTCAATTACCACACCTGCTGGCAAATAATCTAAGTAAGGAATATTAAAAGGAAATATTCTTATAAACTCAATGTGGGTTCTAAATTCCCCTGACATTTGGGCCCTACCTCAGATGGTACAGCTGGGAGCCTAATAGAAGTTACCAGCTAATATCCTTTAAGAGTTAAGGTTAAGTCAGAGTCAAAGAAGTATTTCCTTCATAGCAGTTAATGCTAAAGAAACCTTTCGTCTCCCACCCAACTCCAAGCACTATGCTAACTATTCACTGCTTGTGAATTTCACACATATATTTTGTTTTTCTGCACAAGCTCAGTAAGGACAGAAAAACAAAGGGTTCTGGGTAGAAACAAGGCAGAATGGGGAGACAGAGAGGAGTATGACAAAACAGCCTCATGGCTTTTACCCTAAGCAGTGTCAACAGGCACAAAGACAAAAATGTTTTATTGTCTCTCATGTTGCCTCTCAATTTAGGCCAATCCTTCTGAAACCTAATACAACCTTGAAAATTTTAAGAGACCTTGCAACTCAAAATCTGAAAGTGTTAGGTAATGGAGAAGTAATGTGGCTTATTATTTCCTTTAGAAAATGTGTTAAGGTGTAGATATAGGTGAATTCAGTAAGTACATTTTAAAAAGCAAATGCGAAAAATGTTGTTTGTATATTTACAGCTTTACCTTCATAAAAATTCTGACTCACAATTTAGGACTTTATTTGTTTATTTATTTATTTATTGAGGAAGATTAGCCCTCAGCTAACAACTGCTGCCAATCCTCCTGTTTTTGCTGAGGAAGACTGGCCCTGAGCTAACATCCGTGCCTGTCTTCCTGTACTTTATATGTGTGACGCCTGCCACAGCATGGCTTGCCAAGTGGTGCCATGTCTGTACCTGGATCCAAACTGGCAAACCCCAGGCCGCTGAAGCAGAATGTGCAAACTTAACCGCTGCATCACCGGGCTGGCCCAGGACTTTATTTTTTTTAATTAAAATTGATATTTTGAGATAGTTATAGATTCTGTGTGGGGGGGGTTGTTTGTTTGTTTGTTTTGCTGAGGAAGATTTGCCCTGAGCTAACACCTGTGTCAGTCTTCCTCTATTTTATATGTGTGTCACTGCCAATGCATGGCCACAGACAAGTGGTGTAGGTCTATGCCCAGGAACCAAACCCAGGCTACCAAAGTGGAGTGCACCACGTAACCACTAGGCCACGGGGCTGGCCCAGATTCTGTGTATTTTTTAATTTTAAAAAATTCAACGTATTCTGTGTGTAGTTTGTCCATATAGGAACATGCTATTTGGTTCTCCCCATGTGCCCATCATCTAAGTTCTAAAAAATTTGTAGTTCATTAGGCCCAGCTGACAGGAGAAGTTGGAATTTTCTTGGTTTTCTAAGAAAAATGACAGTGGACATCTTGTGGACTTTTGAGCGTGAGTGGGACGATGACAAATAGTGGATCATACATCATAAGGCACTATCACAGGAGTTGATTAAACTCTGGAATGTGTGTTGGGGATGGAGGCAGGAGAGGGGAGGAAGATTTCTTAGCAGAGCTACAAGCCCGTAGCTGACTGCGGCCGTGCATAAAGAGTGCTGGAGTCTGCGTGGGATCGAAGCAGCCTCTTGCTCAACGGTTTTTTTAAAAAGATACTTAATTAGGATTAATAAAATAGTCATCTCCTGAGTGAAAACCTTTATTATTGTAACTATTTATCCTAAAACATATTTTTAAATGAATTTTGTTGTGGGGCTGGCCCCGTGGGCTGAGTGCTTAAGTTCGCGTTCTCCCCTGCAGGTGGCCCAGTGTTTCATTGGTTTGAATCCTGGGTGTGGATGTGGCACTGCTCATCAAACCACGCTGAGGCAGCGTCCCACATGCCACAACTAGAGGGATCCACAACAAAGAATATGCAACTATGTACCGGGGGGCTTTGGGGAGAAAAGAGAAAAAAATAAAATCTTTATAAAAAAAATGAATTTTGTTGTGTTTCATGCTTTCCTCATTGATGCATTCTAGACTTTTCCTTTCATGGAGCTTTTTGCTTTAATCCTGATGGGCAAGTCAATTTAATTAGCGTACAATCTCTTTAGCTGTAAACTAGAAGTATAGCTCTTCCCAGATCAAATTTCAGAGGGATTTTCTTAAGCTCTGTTAATTGCGAATTG